TAGCAGCACGTTTGTTGATTCAGTTATTCATTCGTATTGACAGTGTAAAGTGTGGACTGTTCCATCGTGGCCACGTAGTGACATAAGGGTATAACTTTACGCGTGGGTTAAGCATATATCAGTGCTTAGAAGTGTTTGATTTAAAAAATTATTGTCCTCGTATTCAGGTGGTACAAAGGGAGGACGATGAGAGGGACGAAAAGCCGCGAACGTCAGTAACAGAGGAAAACATTAATGCTCTGAGGAAAATGCTTGAAGAAGATCAGAGAGTGAGATACCAACAGATAGTAGAGACCTTACACCTTAATGCACCAGCAATTCATTCAATTATGCACGTAAGGAACCTTTGTTCTTTGGGTACCGCAGAGCCTGACTGAAGAGCAGAAGACTCGTCGTACGATTAGGTGCCGAAAGATGTTGAACTTGTTTGATAAGGGGCGATCTCGGTATGTGGACAGCATCGGGTCAGGTGGCGAGACTTATTACGATGTGCCGACCAAGGCTTAAACCAAAGATGACACACTGGGAGCTGTCAGAAAATCCCGATCTGTTAAGAAAAAAATGATAGCTAAAAGGAAAACGGCTCCCGGGTGAAACTTGGCAGAGCTGGTTTAAGGACTGGTTTTGAACGAAGACAATTTTAATTTCAATTTCAATTCTTTATTTGTGTTAAGTACACCAGCGTGTTTACACAAGTCAAAAGAAAAACAAAATTAATACAAAAAAGCAGTCTGACAAAAGACTGATGTTCAAATTACACAGAAAAACATCAACTTATGACATTATGATTCAATAAAAACAGATACAGTCCATAAAAGTTGTAAAAACAGGAGGACATGTATACGTACATAGATACACGCATATTCATTTAACCACAATATGTTTACTTCTACACACACACATGCACACATACATATATACACACATACACACATATACGTTAAAATGGTAAGACATATGAAATGTTGATATAAAAATTTACCAGATGACTTAGTAGCAAGTTCAAGGAGCCTAGAGGACCCCAGGTGTAGGAACACTGTTGTATTTGCTAACAATCCGACAAGTCTGAAAAATTGTTGCTCAAATACTCTTTGATCGAGTAAAATGCTTTAGTAGTCAGATAAGCATTAACTTTATTTTTAAAAACTTTCGCATCCAGTTTCTTTATACGGTCTGGCAACAGGTTATAAAAAACTATCCCATAATAGTTGGGAGGTACTAAGATTTTATCCATATTTCTGGTTCTATAACTGTGGACATCACTGTGGGTAGTATATTGGCTCAGGTTAGTCTTTATATACATCAGACATGTGAAGATGTAAAGAGAAGGTACTGTCATGATGTTCAATTCTATAAAAGCTTCCTTGCAAGGTTCCGTGTATTTGAGGCCAGCAATGTACCGCAAGCAACGTCGTTGTAATCCAAAAACTTTTGACGAATGGGCCGAGTGACCCCAGTTTAACAATGCGTATGAAATTCTTGATTGAAAGTAGGAATAATATGTTAGAAGAAGAACTGACTGAGAGACATTTTGTTTCAAGTTCCTTATCAAATATATATATTTTGCTAGTGCATTGAGAACATGGATTACGTGAGTTTCCCACGACAAGTGTTCATCAAGGTAGACTCCTAGTAACTTCACGGACTTTAGTGTATTAGTGTCGTGCTGCCTCAAGCTAAGAATAATCATCTGAGACTTGGTTTCATTGATGGTCAACTTATTAGCGGTTAACCAGTTTGCCAGTTTTCTTTTATGAGCTTCAGAGTCGAATATCAATGAGGTTAAAGAGGCATTGCTATTCATCAAGGTAGTGTCATCAGCGAATAGGATTAAGTTATTATTCACATTATAGTTAGTTATATCATTGACGTAAATAAAAAATAAAATAGGTCTCAATACCGAGCCTTGCGGTACCCCGTGAGCAGCGACTAACTGTGAGGATGATGAACCTTTAAAGAATACAAATTGGCGTCGATTACTCAAGTAAGATTTAATCATTGCAGTGGATGTTTCATGAAAGTTATAAAAAGGGAGCTTTTCCAACAGGATGTCGTGTTGAACACAATCGAAAGCTTTGGACAAGTCCAACAAACATGCTGCGACATATAGGTTGTTCTCAAAAGTCTCGTTCACAAACTGAATAAAACTGTTAATAGCTGATGTGGTGGAACTATTTTTCCTAAAACCAAACTGTGTTGAGCAAAATAGATTATTAGCCTCATAGTATTCATTAATTTGATCTTTCAACAAAAATAGGTATTAAGGAAATGGGCCTGTAGTTGCATAACTCTTCAGTATCCCCTTGTCTGAAAATTGGTATAATTTTAGATAGTTTGAAAAAATCCGGAAAAGTATTACTTTCTATACACTGATTGAATAACTTGGTTAGAGGATATATGATGAGATTTTGCAAGGTTTTGACAATCCTGACGGTAAAGCCATATGGGTCAGTACTCTTTGAGTTTTTTTAGTTTATTTATGGCAGTTCTCACATCATGTTATGAAACTTCCCTGAATCGAAAGTGTGAACTATGAGTAGGATGATTCATATAATGCGATGGAGAAACATCGGATGGGGTAATTTTATTTAAAAGTTTTTGTGCGATATGGGTAAAAAAGTCGTTGAAAAGGAAAAAGAAGAATAATAGTAAAAGAAGAATTAATAAATATGACATAATGCGTACGATTAGAACAAAAAACATAATACGTACGATTCAAAGAGAGGACAATAACCTAAGAGCTCAATAAGTAGTTTTTATATTTTTTTTTTAGAAAAGTTGCTGATGAAACATTGTTCGAAAGAGTTGACCAATTTCACCGCATTATACGTAAAAGACCGTTGAAAAATGGCTGTCCTATGTTGTGGCATTGTCAGGAGATTAATGTTGCGCGTATTCAAATTGTGAATTAAATTCCTACGAACAAGCTTTTGCATAAGATAAACGGGAACAGAAGTTTTTAATATTTTTACGACAAATGTAACAAAGTTGTATTTGAAAAGATCAGAAATTTTCAACCAATTCATTGAAGATATTGAGTGAGAAACATGATCGTACCTTCTTAAATTGTTTATGTAACGACTACATGAGTTTTGAATTTTTTGCAGTCTGTATTTTGTGATTTCATCCAGACAGGGATAATAAACTATGTTGCAGTAAGCGATTTTACTGAGTATGAGTGACTCGCATAACATTTTCTTAATTTTTCTATTTAAAACAGTTTTACTTGCACATAGAAGCCTGAGTCTAAAATAACTAGACTTACACACATAGCCAACATGCTCCTGAAATCTGAAATCTTCATTCAAGTACAAACCTAAATTTTTTGCAGAATGGGAAAATATTAGGATACTATTATTTATTGATAAATTTAACTTTGATTTGAGGAAAGTACGTTTTTTCTTGGAGCAAAAAAGTATAGCTGTCGATTTCGATGCGTTTAGACGTAAATTATGTTTTTCAGCATATGTGCATACGTATTGCAGATCTTGATTGATAAGGTTGTTAGCTAAATGGTAGTTGTTCGGACAGAAATTATGAAAAATCTGCATATCATCAGCATATGATTGACTAGAACAATGTTGAAGGGTGTTGGAAATGTCAAAGGTGTATATAAGGAATAAAAGTGGACCTAATATGGATCCCTGAGGCACGCCGGAACAAATCGGCCTTTTGTCTGAAAGTTTATTTTGTATGACGACATATTGATGTCGTTCATTTAAATAGCAATCTATCCATTCCAGAACCAAGTCGTCACACCCAATGTATTTACATTTAGAAACTAACAGCTTATGATTCAGGGTGTCAAAAGCCTTGCTGAAATCCAATAAGACTAATGCAGTTGCTTCTTGCCTATCCGCCGCTGTTAGTACATCGTCACAAACCCGTGCCAAAGCGGTAGTGGTACTGTGACCCTTTCTAAAGCCTGATTGATTTAATGGCAAAATGCTGCGTTCGAGTAAATACTCATTCAACTGCATATAGACTATTTTTTCTAGAATTTTTGATAGAGCTGACAGCAAGCTAATAGGTCGGAGATCACCAGGAACCTGGGGATTGGGAATCTTTGGAAGAGGTTGCACTAATGTTTCCTTCCAAGCACTTGGAAAAACACCGCGCTCTAAACAACAATTTATTAAGTGCAAAATGTAGGTAGACACAATTTAATCATCTCAATGGTAATGCCATCAATACCACTAGAATTGGACTTGATACTGCGAATAGCATCCAATACTGTAGATATATCGACAAGACGGAACTGAAAATGAAAATCTTGGTTTAATTTGTTATGGCTATAAAATTCGATAGTTTCCGAGCAATCATCGTCACTTTTCTGGAATATAGGTACTGGTAAAATAGTTATTTATTTCATTGGGAACTGCTAAGTCATCCGGAATGTCAGTATTACTAGAATCCTGAATTCTAAATGACTTAAGAGCTTTATAAAGAGCTGCAGAGTTTCTTTGTCGAGATAGATGTTGAAGGTAGCCTGATTTCTCAGCACGTGTAGCAGTTTTGGTAAAATTTCTCAGTTCATTGTAATGATTTCGATTCGCATCCGTTCGAGACCGTCTATATTTATGAAAAGCCTTATCTCGTTCTTTCATTATCATTTTCAAATTGTTTGTGATTCGATGATTCCTGACTTACAGCGAACACCTTGGATATTTAGATGTAGTAGTCTAAAGAGCATGTTACTGTTTTTTACTGTTTTAACAGATCGTGGTTTTGGTATTGTATTATTCTGTTGTTTATCTTCCCTAATGAGTGCTTTACTTAAGAAAAAACTGTTTTTCAATGAATGAAGCTGTATTGCGAAACTTTTATAGTACCTTCAGCAAAACTACGATTGGGCTAAGTAGTCACTTCTTTAGCTTTGACAAGAATAGATGTCCCTTAAACATGTTTGGTATCTGGGTAGCCAGACTAACAGACCGACGAGACTTGACGAACAATGACGGATAGTAATAGTAAGAATAGATGCGCGTATGTCAACTAACCTATATTATGTGTAGAATGTTGAAGGTAGTTGGCGTTGGGAGGCCCGACAGGCACATGAGCCAGTCCGGCCCTCAGCGTGAGAGTCCCTAAAGGCGCGATCGCGGGCCCTCCTTCAAGGTACGCCGCCAGATTGCCCGATTTTTACCACACTTGCACACGCACCAAATATTACAAAAAAAATCCACAATGCGCACTGTTGGTCCTTCGCGCTGGCCCGAGCTCAATCCACGCGCACGTTTCAGGGTAAAACTATGACAGCGCCCGTCACAACCTGTATCAGCGACAACGATTTTGAATCGACTGGCTGTCTGCTGGAGACGGTCCTCTCACCCCTACTCGGAATCGATCTTCTCGTCCCCCACCACCGAACGTAGCCAATGTGGTCTGTATGCCACGCCCCGTACACAGTCCCGCCTCCCACCTGGTAGCCATCAGCTAGCGATCTTTATCAGATCCAGTTCGGCGGCTGCTCTTATGCCAGAAGAACCGAGAGGCCAAAGTCGCCTGAAACACTACTCCGCTTTTTCCTACTACTGTTTTGCATTTTTTCAGGCTCTAGCCGGGATGTGCATACTGAAGGCGTAAGGTTTTTTCTTTGGCAGCGATGAAGGGCGAGCTTTATCTTTTTGCGGGTCTTTTTTGCCCTCCTGAAAAGCTGGAAACATATGAGCGTAATGATTCAAAAGGGGTAAACGTATATGTGTTGTCGAAGCGGAGGACTTACTTGTGTAAAAGGTGGAAAAACATTATAAAGGTAGGTGGCGTTGAAGCTGAGACGTCAAAACACGGAATTTAATGATTGCTGAGGTTTTCTTTCATGGAAATCATTCAAGGAACAAGGCAATTCGCGACTAATATCTATACATTCCCGGTAGGCTGCGATTCACTGTTCGCAGTGGTCGATTCTAGTTGTAGATGGCGCCCCGCGCAGTCTTACTTTCATAGACCTCACATTTTTTATAGTGTATAGTAAGTTGCTAGGTTAGGTTAGGTTTCTTGTGAGTGCATCAATAACGATCCTCCACTGCGACTCTTTGGTCTGTTGTGGCTCACACCTACAGTATATTCAGATAAGAGATAGACCGGATGTAAACAAAAGGTTCGGGTGATTTTCACGCTAACGCCGCCGTCTCGACGTAAAACAGGAGCCCTCATTGGTCAATTCGCAGTTAAATGCCTATGCCGAGCGGCAGAGCAGTCGTATCAAGGCAGAGTCACATTCAGGTTCAGACGTGTTACGTATGTCGTGTGCATCATTGCAATTTGATATTTCTTTGGACGTTTTCGTTTGTTATCTTATTAAGTTGTTGAGTTTGTCGTTGTTATTGTTATACCTTGTTATTGATTGTTATTGTTATCAACTGCTCGCGCAAAATGCCCAGTAGTACAGATACTGCCGATGAAGTTGTAAACTCCTGTAGTCCACCTAGGAAACGCTCTAAAAAAAGACACCTGAGTGCAGAAATGAAAGAGGTCATTTTGAATATATATAAGATCGAGCGCGAGGAGAACGAGGCATCAACCATCAAAGAAATTGTTGTGAAGGTTTCTCACAAAGTTGGGGTGTGTCGCGCATCAGTGTTTAATGTGTTAAGACAATACAAAAAAAATCACACCTTTTCTGAGCCAATGACCAGTAAACATCGCAAAAGTATTGTTAAATCATTGGATGAAGCTGATAAGCATGCGATTAGGAGGAAAGTGCACGAATTCTTCTTTAGGAATGAAATACCTACTATAGATAAAGTACTGCAGGAGGTAAATGGAGATACAACGTTGCCAAATTTCAAACGATCAACTTTCCATGCGTTACTGAAGCATTTAAATTTCAAATGGAAAAAACGGGGTCGTAATAGTTTACTACTGGATAGAGAAGAAATTGTGCTATGGAGGAGGGATTATTTAACAAAAATTGGGAAATATAGAAATCAAAACAGGAAGATTTATTACCTTGATGAAACATGGGTAAACGCAGGACACACTACAAGTAGGTAAAGTATGGTTTGATGTAACTTCATCCAGGAGGGCCTTTCTAGATGGACTGTCCACCAGATTAAAAAATCCAGCAGGTAAATACGAGTAATAGACAACAATCGGATGTTTTTCAAACCTTGGGAACAAGGTTCTAAACATTAATTCCAGGGGGCAGATAAAACATATTACAAGTAACAAAACTTTTATAACTTTCGATAAAATGCGTGGATGTTTTATTGTCATTTTCATTTGTTAGAACTTTTTTAAGCCATGTTTTTATGTGTTTTCGATATTTCAATAATTTTTTAATATAATCTTAAAATATGCCGAATATTATAAACTTAAAAAAAGTTACTCAGTTTTATATTGTGTACCGTTCCTAATATTTCTAATCATTTTAATTCATACTTTAAGCTTTATAAAGTTATAATTTGTTAATATTAATATTTGCGCGTATTTCAGGTTCCTGATCATTCATTTTTTAAAGGTTTATAACTTTAAATTAAATTGTGAAGCGCTGAGTAATCATACGACGTTCAATATTCTTTCTTTCAATATGACTAAATAATCCCAATTATAGCAATCTGATACTCATGTCTCAATGTTTTTTCGCTGAATGTGATGAAAACATTTGAAAAAGTTTCGCTTATTGAAATAAATCTACACCAGTTAGTACTTCGATTTCCAGGTAAAGGGAAAAGGCTCATTATCTGCCATATTGGCAGTGAGGATGGATTTGTTGTTGACGGTCTGTGGTGCTTTGAGTCTAAGAAAACTGGAGATTACCACGAGGAAATGAATGGCGAATCGTTTGAACAGTGGTTTTCAAAAATTTTACCGAACTTAGAGGAAAACGCAGTAATTGTGTTGGATAATGCGCCTTATCATTCTCGAAGAATGGAGAAGGTCCCAACAACGGCTTCAAGGAAAGTTGATGTTCAAAATTGGCTCCGCTCGAAAAATATCAACTTTGAAGAAGCAATGCTGAAAGTACAATTACTAAGAATTGTCAAGGATCACATGGCGGAATATCAAAAATACGCCATTGACGAAATGGCAGCAAGTCAAAATAAAATTGTGCTCCGTTTACCTCCATACCATTGCGAGCTCAATCCCATTGAGCTCATATGGGCAGAGGTTAAAAATTATATAGCTAAGCACAATACAACTTTTAAATTTTGTGACCTCAAAGGACTTTTCAAATAAGCACTAGAATTAATAACAGCGCAAAAATGGGAAAACTGTATTAAGCACGTGAAAGACAAAGTTGAAAAGAGAATGTGGGAACTGGACAATATTTTAGAGGAACAAGTCGAGCCATTCATTATTGACGTTGGTGCTTCAGGCAGTAGCGATGATGAAAGCTCATCTTTCCAATAAAAGATGTCGTTCATCAAATTCGGTAAGTTATAAGTAATTATAAAGCTACTGGATTTTTTAATTAATTATTGACATTTTTGAACCCATTTTGGCAAAACCTATTCAAGAATCTACTTTCTGACAATGTTCAACCATGCACATTTTTTTACGTTTTAATTTGGTTACATATTTACCTAGAAATCAAAAAATATACTAATCAATATTCTAAAAGCAATTTTAAGAGATATACGATTATTTTTAATTTAGGCTAATTTAAACGCCATTTTGAGATTATATTCGACTGTATTTCACCAAACATCAGGCGGCATCCGAAGCTGGAAATCGAAGCGAAAATTTTGAAACCCTTATGTATATTTACATCATTATATATTTCTTACCCCACCCCAACATGATCCTATATCCATCACCAATCGTATACACATCGAATTGTGCTAATTTACTACAAAGTTACGCAAAGCAGCATCTACTATCTAAAATATGTGCTGCGTGACTCTTAATACGTCCCTGCCGAATGTTACAGCGTTCGATGATCACGTGGTCTTGTTTATGTCCGGTCTATCTCTTATCTGAATATACTGTATTTATATTTGCCCCAGGAGTTCCGACCTGCTAAGGAAGTCGATCAACTTGTTTGGAGAAATATCCTTCAGGTCTTCTGCTTGCAGTACTACGTCTCCAAGTATGTTGTACCTGATTCTGGCATCTGCACAATACATGCCTGACCGTTTCCCCTCCCTGCTCATGTGGTGACGCAATTTGCAATGACCAGTGTACAGTTGTACTAGAGCTTTAAGGCTATTCCTGTTCAGGCCTAACAAAGAGTCTGTTACCTTCATTATCAAGATTGGTATAGTTGCCTTAGAGTGGGTTAACCCCCTTCCCAGTTTTGATGGATCTTTCTGTCCGTCTCTGCAGAGATTATTTGTATTGTATGCGATCCCAATCGCTGGCTCAGGCCCTATGAAGCGTGTGCTTTGCCAGAGTATCAGCTGTCTCGTTTCTCTCTAGACCTGTGTGTCCTGGTATCCACATGAGTCGGACTTCATTTCCCTCCCGTTGCCACCAAGAGCTTCTTTGCAATTCCACACTAATTTTGGAAGCTTTTGGAACGGGAAATGAAGATACAAATATCTCAGTATATTTTCAGTTCCATCAATGCAGTCTGGATTCAGGGAAGACCATAGTACAACAACTGTTCTAGCCAATGTCACTGATGATGTTATAAGAGGCCTTGATCAAGGAAATATAACTTGTTTAGTTCTGCTGGGTTACACAAAAGCTTTCGATATGATAGACCCCGAAATTCTGCTACTTAAGCTGTCTTACTATGGTTTTACTGACGCTGCAGTCAATTTGATAAGCTGCTATCCGTCAAATAGAAATCAAAAGGTCTTAACAGCTTCGAAAATGTCACAGTCAACTGCTATAAAGTTTGGTGTTCCTCAAGGCTCCATATTGGGACCTTTACTTTTCTCTCTATGTACCTTTATCGGATTTTCATCAATGTGTCCATAATTGCACAATCCATCACTATGCCGATGATAGGTACTCAAATTTATTTTAGTTTTCAACACAAAGATTTCTCAACGAAGAGTTAACAAGGCTAGTACACGTCTCGTGCTCGCATGACCTAAAAATTAATCCATCTAAATCTTCAGTTATGGTTTTCAACTCAAAAAACAAAATAACATTGATCGAAACGGAAATTAACCTTAAAATCTATGATTGCCGGCTTCCTATAATGAATGAGTATAAAAACCTGGGACTCTGGATTGATACAGTACTAAAATACAAAAAGCACGTAAATTCGTTAAGTAGTGCATCATACTGCATTTTGAAGCAGTTTTATTCACATAGGCAAATGATATATACTTCCTTAAAGCTGAAACTGTGTGAAATATTAATTATATCAAAGATCAGTATACAGGGTGGCACATCGAA